CCCCCTTTCCTTGTTGGTGCCCCTGCTCCCAGCACTGCTGTGCTGTCCCCAGATGCCACCCTCTTGCCACCAGCCTGCCTGTGGGACGGGGTGGAGATGCACAGAGGGCTGAAGGGGTTCAGGCTGCCCTGGGGTAGCACAGAGACCTTGTCTGTACATGCAAGGATGGAGCTAGGAAAGGCAGAGCTCAACTGGTGCTCAAACTGGCAAGGGATGCAGAAGGTAGCAAAAGGGACTTCGGTAAGGGTGTTGGCAGCCACAGCAAAGCTAAAAAAAGAAAAGCGGGCCCAAAACTCAGTGAAGGAGTGGACCTAGTGACCAAGAACACGTGGAGAGACTTTCAGCAAGCTGGTTGGCCATACATGATTCTGTGGGTCCTCTATGGGGTGAGTTACAGCCAAGGGTGCTGAGGGTGCTGGCCAAGGTCAGTGTGTGGCTGCTTCTGTCACCCTGGAAAGGCCATGGCAGTCAAGGAGGTTCCTGGTGTCTGGGAAAAGGCAAACATGCCACCCATCTTCATGAAGAGCAAAAAGGAAGATGAGGGAGCTCCAGGCTGCTCAGCCTCACGTCTGTCCCGGGGAAAGTGATGGAGCAAATCCTCCTGGAAGCCATTTCCAAGCACCTGAAGGAGAAGAAGGGGATTTGGAACTTCCAGTAAAAACTGAATAAAGACAAATTCTGCCTGACCAACCTGAATACCATTTACAATGAGATGATGGGCCCTTTGGATAAGGAGAGAGGTAGATGCAGTAGCCCTCAGTGAAAAGGTCTGCCTGGGATCCACACAAAGTTGAAGACAAATGACAGTGTTCATCCTGTCACTGTGCTGGGACAACTCCAGACAAGAGGCCAGGATGGGGACAGCAGCTCTGCAGAAAAGGACCTGGGAGTCTGGGTGCACAAGCGGGACAGGAGGGAGCAGTGTGCCCTTGGGAAAAGGCAGGCCAACCTTATCAATGTCTGGATTAGCAAAATCACAGCCATCAGGGAAAGGGAAGTGACTCTTCTCCCTTATTCATGGACCCCAGTAGGATTGCTGTGTCCAGTGTGGGTCTCCCCAGCACAAGAAAGACCTTGACAGGCTGTGAATAGTCCAGCAGAGGCTGGAAAGATGGTTGGCGCCTGGAGCACATTGTGTACTAGGAGAGGCTAAGTGGGCTGTTTGGTTTTGAGGGTTGGGTTTTTTTGGAGAAATCCCTCAGAGACCAGCAGCCAAGCAAGGGCCCAGGGGAGATGGTGGGATCTCGGTCAATAGAGATGTTCCAAACTCATGGAGACAAGGTCCTGGTGCACTTGATCTAGCACAAGTTGTCTGAGTATGGGCTTGGAGACCAGCTTAGGCAGGAGCTATGGCACATCAGGTCTGAGGGTCAGTATGAAGCTGTTTTCTTCTTTGGTCATAACGGTGGTGGAGTTGGGTATCAGAGTTGAGCCTGTATGCACCCTCACTGCACTGACATCATTAGAGCCCAATAAATTTTTCCTTTTAAAAAATTTTCCTTCTACCTGTGAGTGCTTGTGCAACCCTCACAGCTTCCATCCAGCAGAAATCGCTTCAGGCTGCCATGGTTCCCCTTTGTACCAAGAAGAATCCTGGTGTGAGAACATCTTGAAGGGCTCACCCATGCGCTGAGCACAGTGTGAGCTCTTCTGCAGGAGTCATTCCTAAGTCTGGCACTCATGCCATGGGCTGAGGACTATCCCAGCCCATCTCCAAGGCCAAGCCTTGCCAGGACCGTGCAGGCAGGCCAAGGCGACCAGCTCCAAGCAGAGACACACCCTGTGGGTGCCCACGCGGCTCACAGAAGGGCACCCACAGAAACCTCATCGCCCAGCACAGAGGGGCTGTGGCAGTGCCGATGGGTGGCAGTGGGCAGAGCAGGGAGGACCTCCTCAGCTGGGCTGGCCACGTCCTGCTGCCCCACATGGCCCCACAGCCCCATGGTGCAGGCACTGCTTGGAGCAGGGTGGTTGTTCAGGGTGGGGAAATGTCTGCCCAGCACAGACCCCGTGGCAGCCGTCCATGGTTCTTCCTCCAGCAGTGGCAGCCTCTCACCACCACCCGACCCTAGGTGAGCCCAACGTAGGATTTTGCAGGCAGACATGTGTAAGAAAATGAAAGAATTGTTGCCTCAAACAGTCATAAACACAGAAAAATTTGACAAGCTTTGGCCATTGTGATCAGTCTATGGAACACCACCCAAGGAAGCATGGAGTGTATCGAAGGGTGCACAGCTCCACTCCCTCATGGTTGTATTGCCAAATTCCTTAGATAAGCCTCAATGAAGGGAAACAAATTGAGTGAAACCATATGTTCAGGTTAAAGGAGTGATAAGAGAGAGAAAGAACCAGCACCAGAAGGACCTAAGCAAAAACTGAGGAAAAAATCAATGGTGTTGGGGCGAGCACAACCACTGACTCAATTGACAAAGGGGGTAGGGGCACCCGATCCCCCTTCCATGCACACACAGAACCCACCTTCCACCTTTTCCTCATCTCTCATGGAAATGTGTTGGAGGAGAACCTGCCTCTGCTTGTTTAGTATGAACATCAGCAGAGAAAGTGAACTTAAAAGGCAACAGAAAAGTTTGCTGGGGGTGCACCTACCGCTCAAGATTACCAGACCTGAGAAAATGCTGGAACTTGGGGTAGTGATCCACATACTTTTGACTCTCTTTCTCTCTCTCCCTTTTCCTTTTCTTCCTTTCTTTTCTTCCTTACAGGTTTATTAATAAGAGGCCACATTGCTTGCTATCCTTTTCCAAGTTTAAGTTGTTTCTACTGCAAGTAAAACATTTTAACCAGTCATTTGGTGTCATTTCACTTTAATTTAACCCAAGGGGACCACAGAACCTTTATGCTTCCCTGCATTCCCAGTCTGGCTCATAACAACCTTGGAAAGGCTCATTGCCAGTACGATATTCATTTTTGGCTACCTGGCCTCTGCCTTCAAATGCACGCTATGAGAGAAGCACACCTGTGGAGCACCTCGTCTGCACAGTCAGAAGGGGTTCTGTAAGCATCAGCAATGTTGCCCTCAGGAAGAAGGCATTTCTCAACTGCCAGAAGGCACAGAGCACATTTAGGGAATATTAATACACTCAGAAACACACACCTCCGTGGTTCACCTCGCTGAACTTCCTTCACCATTCTTTTAAGCAATGAACACAGAGAAATGTTCTTCCTCCTAGGGGTCCTACTAGGAGAGAGTGGAAAAGAAGGACCTTGGCCCCCCATGGTGTTGGAGAAGAGCAGAATGCACCTCATTCAAAAGAGGGAAGCAGCAATATGTTTTATTGAGGTAAAGTACTAAATTGACAGAGTTCCATAAGTGCGATGGAACTGAACAAAGTTTTGATAGGGGCTTGATAAGGTTCAGTAAGATTGATGGTGAGGTTCACCTTACTAATTACTGCATGGAGGAAACCCACAAAGGAAAATAGAGTTAGAATTGAGTTAGAATGTTTCACATAGAGACCAGAGGTGCAAGGAGAGAGGAGGACACTGCCACTGTGTCACACTCCAAGGGGCCCCCATAACAAATCCTGTCATGTGTAGAGAGGGGTCCAGCCCAGTGAGCCAGGCTGGGAGGCCCCCACATCCCAGACCGGCCATGCAGGGTTACTGGGGCCAAGTCTGGGCTTTGAACTGTGCAGGAAGACACAGTCCATGTGGGCTACAAAAATGGAAAACCAGGGCAAAATGCCAACTTGGGAAGGCCATGTGTGTTGGAACAAAGAGGAAAAGACCCAAAGGGGATCCCCAGGAAGAACCACATGAAGGAGGAGAAACAGAAAATATGCCTGTGAAATGCAAACTGCTTTTTGAGGTGTGACACCAAAAATTCAGGTGGTGGTGGGGACATCCAATTCCCCATGCTTGTGAGGGATCTCACAGCTACCTGTAAGACCATTGTGGCGGGCAGGTCAGTGCTACATGTTTTGCCTTGTCCTTCGGCTGACAACCTGATCAAAAAGCTCTGTCTGACTGAGCCAGGGGAGAGGTCAGGAGTGGGCTGGGACTTGGGCACTCACCCCACAGCACCAAACCTTCTGAAGGGCACAGCAGCCCCAGGGAGCATCCCAGGGAGGGATGGCAGCCTCCCCAGTGTTCCCACTACTTGAGCTGGTCCAAAGGGTGTGAGGAAACAGAGTCCAGGCACTCTCTGTCTGTCCTGCATTCATGCTGCAAGTGACCCTCAGCCCTGGCTGCCTTTCTTCCACTTCTGCCTCCCCACCAGCCCTGCTGCCCAGGACAGAAGGAGACCCCCAGCCCTGGGGATCCTCGGGCAGCTTCCACATTTCTCCAGTCTCCTTTCCCCGTGCCTGCTGCATTTTCACTGGCTCACACCAAAATGCAGGGTCATGGTTTATGGGTATCTGGATTTAGTGCTTTACTCTGGGTGATCCTCACCTTTGAGGGGTGTCTCATCTCCTGATTGTCCATTCACTGCCCACCCCAGGGCACACAGAGAGTGTCTTTTCTTTCCTGACCCCTCCAGACTCCTTTCCGCAGGGAACACTACATGCCATCAGCCCTGCTATACATGTGGCTGCCTAAAGAGGTAATGGAGAGCTCCTGCAGCACCTACACCGCCCCTGGAAACCAGGAACAGTCTTTGAAAGCACCACTTGGTTTCCAATAGATCACACAGTTGCCAGAAGTTTATCACCCCAAAGCAGGAATTAAAGAATGAGAAAAGACATTTTAAAAAGTCAAATTCCTTGGGCTTATTCTTGGTAGCAGCTTAGTTGGGACAGCCCAGCCTTCAGACACTGCACGCAGGAGACCCTTTTTATTGCTGAGATGCTCTCAGGGAGGCTGGATCTGGTAGAGTGTTCAAGGCATTTGAGAAAGGGTCGGACACAACAGATGAAGCACCTAGAGAAGTGGAATGAAGCCAAGCAGTTACCTCTTATGATAATTATCAGAAGGGAAAAATAAATCAGAGGCTTGTCCTAAGCCAAGCTCTGGGTACTCTGCAGAGAAGGTGAGGCAGGTTACTGCTGGTAGAACAAGGTGCGTTGGATCAATTCCTTCACGGCATCCTTGAGCTCCCTGTTCCTCATGCTGTAGATGAAGGGGTTCAATGTTGGAGGTACCACTGAGTACAGAACAGCCACCACCAGATCCAGGGATGGGGAAGAGAAGGAGAGGGGCTTCAGGTAGGCAAAAAATGCAGTGCTGATGAACAGGGAGACCACAGCCAGGTGAGGGAGGCACGTGGAGAAGGCTTTGTGCCGTCCGTGCTCAGAGGGGATCCTCAGCACGACCCTGAAGATCTGCACATAGGACAGCACAATGAAAACAAAACAAGCAAAGTATATAAATGCAGTAAACACAAGGAGTCCAAATTCCCTGCGATAGCCTGAGTCAGAGCAGGAGAGCTTGAGGATCTGGGGGATTTCACAGAAGAACTGGTCCACCACATTGCCATGGCAGAGTGGTAGGGAAAATGTGTTGGCAGTGTGCAGCAGAGCATTGAGGAATCCACTGCCCCAGGCAGCTGCTGCCATGTGGACACAAGCTCTGCTGCCCAGGATGGTCCTGTAGTGCAGGGGTTGGCAGATGGCAATGTAGCGGTCGTAGGCCATGACGGTGAGAAGGGAATATTCTGCTCCAAGGAAAAATACAAAGAGAAAGACCTGGGCATAACATGCCAAGAAGGAGATGACCCTGGTATCCTGGAGGCAATTGGCCATGGAACTGGGGAGAGTGGTGGAGATGGAGCCCAGGTCGAGGAGGGAGAGGTTGAGGAGGAAGAAGTACATGGGGGTGTGGAGGTGGTGGTCGCAGGTGATGGTGGTGATGATGAGGCCGTTGCCCAGGAGGGCAGCCAGGTAGATGCCCAGGAAGAGCCAGAAGTGCAGGAGCTGCAGCTCCCGTGCTGTCTGCAAATGCCAGGAGGAGGAACTGGGTGATGGAGCTGCTGTTGGACATGGTCTCCATATGAACCCAGGGGCCTGTACCAGAGGGAAAAGACAGTGACAAGTGAGGACAGACTTCTCTGGGTAAAACCAAAGACTTCTCTCACACATTCGTGACCACACCTCAGACCCCCTCCCTTTCTCCTGCTTGGCAGGACCTTTGTGCAGCTCCCTGGCTGTTGCTCTGGTTTGTGCTGGCTGGGGGTGCTGTGAAGAGCAGGGCCTGTGGGCTCCCAGATGTGTTGTATATGCTCTAGGCTAGGCTCTGCTTGGGAGCAGGGGGCACGTAGGGGCCAGGTCTGATAGATTTTCTCAGGTGAATTCCCTCTCATCATCAAAGGGCTTGACAACACCTCCACCCCCAATCCCAAGCAAACTTGACTGCATCAAGGAGTTTCATGCTTTTGTTTGTGTTTTTTCTTTCAGAAAGCTCTTCCCTACCACCCCACCACACCCACCCCAGCCCCATCTCATTTAGGGAGTCTTCTCTGAAGGCAGAAATGCTGAGCATCTCTGCTGTGCTCAGGATGAGCAGCCACAAGTCCTGGGAGTTAAAAGGATTTGCTGTGGCTTAGCGCAGGGGCAAGCGAGCTGGTCTGTCCGTTTGTCTTGTTCCCGGCTGCCCTGTCTCTGCCCCTTGAAATGGAGGGGGATTGCACTCCTGAGGTACCCAGAGAAGCAATCAGACCCCACTGAGAGCAGAGGGATCCACTGCAGATCACTAAGTATTTCACCCTGCCACCAGGAATCTTCACAAGGTCTCAGCACCCCACTCCTTGCCAAGGACACAGAGTTCATTTTTCCAACAAATCAACATAATCCTGCTTGTAGCATCTCAGGGATTCTCCAATGGGTTTTACACACAAACGATGCAGGAGAGATATGCCATCTGCAGGGCAGCAACCAGCTTGGGAGGACACCCCAAGGAGTCACCAAGTGTCCTCATGGTGGCATCTCCTGAAGTCAGCTCAGTCCCCACCCGCATGGGCTGCATGGCCCAGAGCCCCACAGCTTCGAGGAGAGCTGGGACACCGGGTTCCCATGGACACGTCTGCGTGGGAGGGCCCACGAGCTCCGTGCTGACCCTTCAGCTGGACCTCCCACCCCCAGAGTGCCTGACAGCCACAGCAGGAGTGGCACAGGCGCGAGGAGAGACGAGCAGACACGTCGGAATGGCCCAGCTGGGAGAGGCCAGCAGAGAGACAGCCAGGCATTCGGGACAGCCTTCCCCTGTCCCAGCTCTGCCCGCCACCTCCCAGCCAGTGACACCGCAGGGCAGTCACCCTCAGCCCCTGTGCTGCACGGGCACGGGGCAGGAGAGATGCCCTTCACCTCTTCTTGGCGCTCAGGGGGGTGAGAAGGCTGCTGGTGGGCTGGACTCCATGGCTGTGAGGTCAGAGGCTCTGCTGGGTGGGAGAGAGAAGGGGAGAGATGTCAGTATCACAGAAATCGGGAATGAAAACTCCTTCATGCTGGGTTTAGCATTAACGAGCAGGCATTATTTATGTGGTTGGGGACATGAGGGAATCATTCCACCTGACATGTCCACCGTACATTACAGTAGCCAAAGCTTATATCCCTCTGTTACATACGTATTCATCAAATTTCTTAAAACTCATGATCTTATATACATAGCTATTAGGAATGCAGTTTGTGTCCCCGAGGGGCTTCCATGGGGGTCATTGGTGGACTCTAGCAGTCTCTGGTGGTGTTTGGAGATGAGCCTTTCTTGGACTTTTTCTACAATTTGTAATTGGCCTTTCTTTGGTTTATGTCTGCCCTTTGTTATCTCCAACCTAGCTTCAGCTAGTTCATTCTTTTTCAGAGCATCTTAATCTCCAAGGACAAGGGCTTCTCATTAGGAGTCTGCCAATTTACACACAAAGCCTCTCCATTTAAGCATTCCCCACGAGGTGTTTATCACAGTTGCCTAGCTGAAGGACCTCTGTGCAACAGGCAATGTGTTGCAGGTGTTTGGCTGATTGCTTAAGGTCTTATGCGACCCTAAACAACTCTTTTATTCTTCACCCATTTTCCAACATCAGAGGAAGGGATCTGCGCTGCAGGGCATGGCCAAAGGTGCCAGTATATCCCCTGAAAAAGGATTTCTGTTAAAAATCTCACTCCCTGCCCACGTCTCTGCTGCCTGGAGCTGTGCCTGCTGGCTGCCTGGTTTCTCGGTTCCCATCTTCTGCATTCACAGACCCCATCCCAGCTGCTGCGTGCTCATCTCTGCCCTGAAGACACCTCCTGGGCAGGGCACTGCCCAGGACCTTCTCTGCTCTTCAAATTTCAGGTATATATGGCAGAGAAAACCTGACAGGCCTGCTGCTGGTGATGCTGGTGATCTCTAAGCCATGGGGGATTGCTCTGATGCTCCCAGACTCATTCACCTCTCAGTGAAACAGATCTGCATTGTCAGTACCTTCTCCAAACCAGTAAGAGTCATTCCCATCTCTCACTGCTCACCCAGCCAACCCAGAGTAGCAAACTGAAAGCACAGGCTCCTTCCCTTGCAGGTGAAGCCTCCCTTTTTTCTCTCTTGCAAGTTTCCCCCCCAGAGCTGTCCAGGCTGTCAGCAGGAGCTGTGGGCAGCCCTGACCCACGCCTCACCCCCTCAACAGCACAATGACCCTGCCCTACCAGGGGTGATTGTGATGAAGGACAGCCCGGGGTGCCCCTGGCTGCACACCCAGCTTCACGCTCCTGCAGCCATGCCCAGGAAAAAGGGAGATGACATGCCCCGTCCCCCCGACCGTTCGGCAGATAATCACTGCTCCAGAGAGCATCAGCCCTGGCATGTGCCAGCTCTAGAAGGACCCTCCCAGAGACTCTACCAGTATCCACCTGCAGCCAGAGACTTACCGTGTTAGGAGCTGTGATGATTTGTCCCCCAGTGAACTCTCAGCATCCTCCCACTCCACACTGTCTTACATCTCTCTCACTTCTCTCCTCTCCCCTTGTCACCCGTGGGCAGTGCCCTCAGCCCTGCCGTGCTCCGCAGAGATGCTGCTCCTGGGCAGAGCTGTCTCTCTCCAGTGCTTCCCGCTTGCCATCAGCTCCTCCTGCCCCCAGAGCCCGGCCCAGCCCAAGGCACCACTTTCTCTACACCACTGCTGTCCCTTGAGAGATCCCTGGGGCTCGAGGGCTGACAGCTCCCAAAAGGCAGCAGGGCCACCCCTGGGGAATATTCTCTGAAGTCAACTGAAGTAATCACCAATGTACCTGTCCCAACACCAGAAAGAGACTGGTTACAGCATGGTTTAGCCTAGCAGAGTGTGGTTGCCTGCAAAAGCTGTCAGTGTCCATATCTGGAAAATGTACTTTACCTGTCCGAAAACAAAAAAATGACACACAAAGCAGGACAAGGAAAGGATTTGTTTCCCCTATGCAGGGCAGGAATTCATCTGAGGTAATGTGGGCATCTCATCCAGAGCTGGAAGCCCTTGGGCTCAAACAGGATCCAGTTCAACTCATGCACCCGACATCTGACATGATGCAGCAGGTTTTGACATCATGTCACGGAAGTCAACCCTCTATGTCCCCATCCCTGCTGCTACCTAAAAACTGTGCCACATAAACCCAATACAGGTGCCTAGGTACCTGTAGTATTCTGGAGGACTGTCTCCTGTGAGAGGGGGACCACACTGGAGCAGGGGAACAAGTTCCAGAAACTCACCCCACCGCAGATGGCAGAAGCAGCGGCACTGACTGCACCCCCCCCCATTCCCTGACCCTGCACCGCATGGGGGAGGAGGTAGAGATATTGGGAGCAGAACTGAGCCCGGGAAGAAGGGAGGGGTGGGGGGAAGGTGTTCTCAGGATGTGGCAATGCTTCTCACCCTCCTATTCTGTTACATGTTTTTAGTGTCTGTTATAAATGTATGCTCTTTTTTCTTCTTCCCCTAATGAGTCTGTCTTTCGCTTGTGACCATAAAGGGTGATGATTTTTCCCATCCCAGTCCTATCTTGATCCCCAAGCCTGGCTCATCTGTCCCTTCTCATTGTTGGAAGAGAAGAGGGAGCGAGTGGCTGTGTGGCGTTTCGCTGCTGACCAGGCTCAAACTACGACACACGGTCAGACAAACTGTGCTCTGTTTCACACATATCCCACATGGACATTTGTATCTGACTAATCCCTAACACTTCCACAAACATAAATAATTGACATTTCTTAGGACCGGAATCACCCTGTTTTCAGAGAAATATTTAAAACCCAAAGTGAAACACACTCATTCACAGAGAGGTACAAAATATCTGGGTGTGACATTTAACAAGTGGGTCAATCGGAAGAGCCTCCCAGGGTGACCTTGCCGACCGAGGGTGGGGGTTTCTGCCTCTGGGGGTCTGAGAGTCCTTATGGGATGCCAGAGAGAGCACTGGGGATTGTGCCAGGCTTGCTGTGGCATGCCTAGGAAAGAACCAAAGGCAGGGAAAGGGAAGGACCAAGGTGATTTGGGGAGAAAGAAGCATCAGAAAACAGGTGGAAATGGAGATTAAAGGAGCTGGTCACAGTGTGGCTGGTCAGTGTACTGGTTTAGGCGTACCATGGAACTGTTGACTCCAGTCTGTCCTGTCTTCTTATGAAATTCCATCCTCCACAACTTTCTGGGGTGAGGAGATGTCTGCTCTTGGTACGGATAGAGGTCCAAGGGCCCATCCCTGGA